TTGTTTTGAAAGAGAAGCAGAAGAACAAAATTATCCATAACGAATTTTATTATAACGCTGTCTCAAATGAGCCAAAGAGAAATTTTAGAACTGCAGTCACATTTTGTTGCAGGATTCACACACAACATACACACACACACACACACACACATACACACAAATTAAACAAGGAACTGGCAAAACTATCTCTGAGTATCTCTTGGCTTAGAAAACCCTATGAATGGGATCCAATGGGATCATAAGTCTCAGGGGTGGAATGGGGTGGAGGGACAAGCTCCCTACTCAAATGTTGGAGGGCAGCAAAGACATGTTCACTTGATTCTCTCCAGGAGGAATTACGCAGAGATATTAATCTCAGGACTGGCATATATATGAATCTCAGGACAGGCACAGATAGAAGGACTTGGTCCACAGACAGTCTGTCACTTGAGAAGCTAGAGGCATAGTTTACAGATTCTACAGGTCAAAGAAGGGTACAAACAAAGACCAGTTTTACAATCTTGGAACCTGTCCTTAGAGAAGGCATTCTTTTCTGTTTAATCCATAACGCAAGACAGAAGGAGTTAGAGGGGGAGATAATATGTTCAGTGCATTAAACAAGACTAGCCCCTCAAAAAATGGGAGGCATATGTTTGCTTGCAAAAGCCATTGCAACATTTAAGGCACCCTCCACACTGCCATATACAATCCAGATTATCTGCTTTGAACTGGACTATGTGGCAGTTTAGAATCAATAATCCAGTTCAAAGCAGATAATATAGTTTATCTGCTTTAATAATCTGGACTATATGGCAGTGCAGAAGGAGTCTGAGTGACATGTTCTGGTCGTTTATATGGTGGCTGGCAGAGATGGTCTTTCAGCCAATTATACTCCCCTTAGCAGAATTTCTTTGTTGGCATAGGAAATATGTCCCACAATCTTGCCTTTTGAGGTTTATTGTCCAGTTCCTAATCTAGAGGTTTTTGTCCTGTTTATCCTCTTCTTGTTTTAATATTTTACACATTTCTTTATTTGCTTTCAGTTCGAAAAACAGTGGTAGTATTTTTAGAACACAGAGGTATGTTGGCTTTGGGAGGGTCGTGTTTTTGTTAAGGTCACCCAAACAAACACTCCACCTCATGTGAAGATGTATTTCTTAGCTCAGGGTATTTGGATGTTATGAAGTAATGTTCCTTCTACCTCTACAAACATTGCTATAGATACGGTGCATTTTTATCCCCTGAAAAACACTGGGGCCAGAGAGTATCCCGGAAGTAATTTAATGCACTTTTAAAAAAGTCTGAGTAACAAGTTAGAGGCCATCTTATCTTTTGGATCCCCTTCCTCCCTGTTAGCTCTTATCAAACTTCTCCTCTGCAGAGAAGTATACCTTTATTAAAATTAAACCTTTATTAAAATTGGCTGCCATCATCCCATAAGGGCGAGCAGGGGGCAAAATTCTCACATGGAGACATTTGTTATGATTCCACTTTTTTAATAAGCTGTCTTTCAAACACTGTAAAATAAGAGTGATGTTTCTATATTTGAGAAAATTAAATGGGACATGTAATTCAGAAGACAAATTGTTATCAAATAAAGAATGCCATTTTCATTCTGTAAATCTGAGCTAATTAATGTCTTAATCCACATATTATTTGGGCCATGGGGAAAGATCTGAGAACAGAACACACTCTTTATAAAATACATCTCCACTACGTTTAACACCAAAACCAAAGCAGAGGAGGAATAAGGTGAGAAGGAATTGCTGCTATTGATTTATATACATTTTCCATAAGTATGAAAAGGTCAAAGCCTTAAAAGGCTGTTTCTGAATCTGCCCAGAATGTGGATTTTTCATGAAAGCTACAGTTCTACCATTATGTTCATGTTCAAACAAGAAATGGCACACGTGTAAGGAAGGTTACATATTTGGAACAGTATTATCACTACTCTACTGTAATATGGATAATTTCTGTATCCCATTCTGACCATTTTAAAATGGTTTGTAATGCAGTGTGTGAGAAGAAAATTTGCTGTTCAGCAAGGAAAGAAGATCTTCTGTGTCTGAATTTACATTTTACAAAAAAAAACAACCTGTAAATGCAAATGGAAGCCATTACTCTGCCATGCCATAACTGTCTGAGAAAATGAGAAGGGGAGGAAATTGAATCAAAATATCATGACTGCATGAAATAGACATGTTTTCAGTTTACAGATAGTGAAAATCAAGTGTAAGAATATGAAAAGTGTTCTTTTTATGAAAACCTATATTACAAGCATAAGAATCCCCTTCAATTTGCTACTTTCTTCTGTAATGAAATGTGGCAATCCATACATCAAAGAATGCAAATTTATACATTTCTTTCAGATTATCAAAATGTTTCTGATGCAATTCATTTTGATCAATCATTGTTAATTTTAGCTATGATATGAAAATGACAACAATTTTACCCAGGTGCAGTTGTAAAGTACTTTCCTCAATTGATATTTGATTGCAATATTTCTTATTCTACATTTTAGTTACAAAGGATTCCTGGGACAGGCAGAAAATTGTGTAGAAGCAATAATACATTTTGGGAAGCATCTCCCAAGCAAACCAAATATAGATTCCTAAAAGGTACACCAAAGCAAGTGTTTTCTCATGCTAACTAGCTTCTAGAAAAATGAAAATTTTGGTGTCACTTTTAGAAAGAAGCGTTTCCACATTACATGGAAGTGTTAGTCTCCAAATGCCTCTTGTGAAAAGAGAAAAGGCAGGGATCAATTCCAGGAAGACTTGTTTCAAAACACTGGATATCATTTTCATATGTCTGTGCCAAACAAGGCTAAAATAAAGACCTAAATAATGCAAAATGTGAAAAGGGAAGCAAGAGCTATCCTCTGTTGGAAAGAAATCTTCTGTTTCAAGGACAATTTATTTATTTATTTATTTGCTGCGCTTATATACTGCAATTCTCAGCCCCCAAGGGCTGAGGACAATCCAAGTGTGTTCTAAAGGACAATCCAAGTGTGTTCTAAAGCTATCATAGATGAAGAGCAGACAAGGGGTATGAAATTGTGTGTCAAAGGTTAGAACAGCAGACTGAGCAAACATACAGATAATGTAGGCACAGTCTTCTCCACCATGGCGGGATACCCTGCATTTCAAATACACATTTGTATTTAACACGTGTTTTTTTATTTCATATAGGTAATGTAGGCACTGTCTTCTCCACCATGACAAGACACCGTGCATTTCAAATATAGATTTGTACTTAACATGTGTATTTTTTCCTCAGAGTTTGGGAAGATTTTTCAGAGGAATAAATACAATGACTGCGGAGAGGTAGAACGGTGCTCTGAATTCCACCATTTGTCATAGTTAAGGATGGCTTCAGCATGTCCATTGCATTTATTCTTCTTAAAAACAACTTTCCAATCTAAGAATTGCATGCCTTTTTAATGATGCATAAGTGGTCAGACTACATATGAGCATACTCTGAACAAACACAGGCCAGGAAAGTAAAGGCGTGTAGGCAATGTCAGCATGGCTCAATGTGAGTGAAATTTTAGATTAGCTTCATAATTTATCATCATAGCCTGAAAGCTATTTTCAATATTAGCAGGAAATATGCAACTCTTAAAAAAGAAGAAATAATTCATCGAGGGAGGGGGGTGTTTTCTTTACTATCAACCCTGATGATATTTCCATGAGCTCTTCCTGCTAAAAACAGATATTCAACGCTTCATTATCTTTTAATAACCAAGAGTTAAAGTTGGGTAGTTACATAATTTGTCTCATTTCTCATTTTTTACACAAAAAATAGTCTCTACTTCATTATTCATACTAAAGTTTCAACCACTTATGAAACTATTTGCAACAGTACAGCACTTTTTCATATGCTCCATCATTCTGTATCCATTTCAAAGTGAAAGTTTGCATGGATGACATTTAGAGCAACCTTGCATGTCACCTCTGAGACTACTATATTGAGGTGTCCTGATCCAGACAGGAGCCGGATGGATGTGGAACCTGAATAAAAACTCAATTTATATCATAATCATCAACTTTAATTATATCCCACCTTTTCTCTACAACCAAAGTTTGAGGCAGCATAGAAACAACAGTAGAACCTAATCACAGACAAATTGATCACTGTTGCTTTCTCATACTCTTGGGGTTTTCTGGGGTTTTAAATGCTCAAGTTCTTTCTGTTCGATATATGAAGAAAATTATGTTCTGTGGAATGTTCTTATTGAAAATCAACCAAGCAACTTTCTTCCTGATTGCTGTGTACAGTCTTTGTTTGCCTTACCTAGTCCAGCTGATGGAATTAAATATGCAAGATACTTTTTCCTGGCTAAAATCCCATGGATATTGAGAATGAGAGACCTATACTCAGTGTTTGCCTTCCTCACTCAATAGCTGACCTAAACTGAGACCAGCATACAACTCTGCCTCTTGCCTCTTTGAATCTTCCCTGTTGGGTTCGAAACAGCATTGTACTGTGAGAAAACTGTGGCAAAGGAGGAACAACACAGGAACAAACAAAATCACAGCTGAAACCCTTAAATTAGCACAATTGTTACTACCTAAATTGTTACTACCTACACTATCACCTTAATCCAACATTACACTGGCAGAATATATTTCTCTTCTCCTCCCCATTGTGGTTCTTCATGGTGCCTGAAAACTCAGACTTCTAAAGCCAGTTTTGGGTACAGACATGACACGGTGGTGAGTGAGATCACCATTATATGATGATTTTTTAAAATGAGGATGATTAGCAATCCATTAACTAGTATTGATAAAGCAGTGTTAACTTCTACAGAACTGCAAGCAAGAAATTAAAGAAAGCAATACCAGACAATGAAAATGTATTTTCAAATCTATAATGTACAATCATTATTTGACTGAACAATAATCGTTGGTAAAACACATCAAAAAAGCAAGGTTAACTACGTTCTGTTTCCATTTATTTTCAAATTGTCACAAAAAGCCTTACTGAATATTCTTTACAAACAAACATGCTTTGCTTACCTCTCTCAGATGTATGTTTTCCTTCTCCTTCTGGTCTAAAATCACTTCTAAATGATTAACCTGAGATTCGGCCTCAGCCATCCTTCGAGTTCGTTCATTGTCATCCTCCATTCCTTTGGATGGCAACCCTTTGCTCTGTAACATCTCTAAAAGCTTTTTGATGGATTCATCCCTGGCATTTAGCGTCTGCTTCTGAGTTTCAATTCTCAGCTCCATTTCTTCCAAGGTTTTTCTCAAGAGAAATAACTCTTTTGCCTGCCTGTCATGTTCAGCTTGAAGCCTTCGGAAATTCTCTTCAGTAAGTTCGATGGTGAAGTGTTCAGCACCTCTGTTTCCACTTTCTTGTTGGAGAAGGTGGTTGAGGTCTCTCTGAGTCCTTAGCTCATCTTGCAGTGCCTGGATAGTTAGCTGAAGATGCTGCAACATAAAAGAAAAGTCTGAATTCAACTGGTCTACAAAAACTCAATGGGACAATTGTTAATAAAATTAGTGGTGAATGTCTAAATGTGCAAGTGATGTTATTCAGTTGCTGTTAGAAACCATGGAGGAGATGAATGTAAGCACACACAGACAGGGCCAATTACAGGTACCAATAACAGTGAACAATAAAACCTAAGGCGAAGTGAAAAGAACAGCATTAAGAAAATGTAGATGTCAAAGGAGTGACACTTCCACAAGCAAACACTTTATGTAACAAGCCTGATTATTGTGGGGGGGGGGGGAGATTAGGGAGCATACTCTTAGATATGATTTCTGAATCTTTTTACTGCATAGATTATGAGTGCTAATCACTCTGCATGAAAGTAAGGGAATTAAACGGTTAAATGAGACTGCTAATGAAACTATGAGCTACTTTAGTAAACAGGACAGGCACATAAAGGGTCACACATTAAGCAATACTGCATTTTTCAAACAAATTGACTGCAAAGAATGAACAAACCTTTGTTTTCCTGGCATCCCAAAACTGAACAGCATTGGAAATGAAAAAAATGAAGCAAAATCAACAGAACGTTTAGGTGCAAGCAAAGGATATTCAACAGAAAGAACTAAATTTAACATAAAGTACATCAACAGAAAAAGAAAACATTGTATTGAACAATACAATTACAATTCTACAGAATTTGTGCGCGCACACACACAGTCACATGCATACATACACATCTCAAGCAATAAAAATTATACACTGGTGTGTAGCGGATGAGGAACTTGGAACAAATCCAAGGAACTGTGACGAAACCAAAAATAACCTGAGGCACTGTTCTGCTAAAGCTCATGCAAGTCCCAGGGGAAAAATGCACATACTATTGTAACAGCAGTTCTTGTAGGAGGATAGGTTGCATACCTGTAACTGTGGTTCTTCAAGTGGCCATCTGTGAACTCACATAAATGGTTTATCTGCATCTGCACAATGTGTTGTTTGGAAAATTCTACAGCTATTACATAAGAGTTTTTGGCAGAAGCCCCATCCATCCTTGGGCACCTCATACCCATACTTTGTGCCTAAACTCTCAGCTCCATGAATGGAGTTTCTGGAAGATGCACTGCATAGACACAGAACCCATTTATGTGAGCCACAGAGGCAATGAAGAACATCCTTTTAAAAAATTCTAGCCATATTGTAAGTAACTGTGGACTTCCAGATATTTTTGAGATACAAACCCAAGCATGCCTGTCTAGCAGAATCAATCTTGAGGGATTATGGGAGCAGAGTCCAAAAAATATCTTGAGGGATACACCCATGGGCAATGTATAGGTAGCCTTGACATGAGCAGAATAGAACTTATGAAATCAAAATGTACCTCTTGATACCAACCCATGGTTCATAAATCATGTGCATTAATAGCTAGTTTGATGTTTTCAATCTTCAAAAGAGACTAACACTGAAATGGTACAGACTCTTCAGAGTAAATACAGGTGTTGATTGAAAGATTGAATGTTCCACTAAATAAAACATTTCCTTTACATAGAAAGTTAGCAAATTAATACAGAAATTTACTATTCATACATCTTAGGTGGGATGGATTTGTTTTAGACTGTACTTTAGTTTTGCAATAGAAGACAGTTGCAATGTATGACATGGAGGGTTGACAATCAAGAAGTGTATAAGTTTATAAATTTTAGTCAAAAATTGCCTTAAAAATCGCCTATCCACAGGTCGATGTAAGTAGTGTACCTTAGCTCCTATCAAAAAGGACCCATTCCCTTCTCTCATAGAGTGGTGAAAGGAGAGAGCTTAGCATATCCTAGGAAAATCTATAAGAAGCCTTAAAGCCTACTCTTGACTTGTACATGAGGTTATAAACATGAATATTTATAATAGTTAATAAAAAGTTTGGTTCTATCTAAATAGCAATTGAAATAATTAAAAAGGTTAACCTAACCTTGTATTTCTTAATGTCTTTTCTACATGAATAAATTACATAATGCACATATTTCTGTCTTTATGAAGGACCCAATCTCCAAAATATGGGATTTTTCAGATCATATGAAAGGAAAAGCTTTCCACACCTCAAGCAGGGGGAGTCCCTTGCAACAACTCTAATGTACTTGGCAGTTTGTTGTTTATTCGTTCAGTTGCTTCTGACTTTTTGTGACCTCATGGACCAGCCCACGCCAGAGCTCCCTGTCAGCCATGGCCACCCCCAACTCCTTCAGAGTCAAGCCAGTCACTTCAAGGATACCATCCATCTTGCCCTTGGTTGGCCCCTCTTTCTTTTTCCTTCCATTTTGCCCAGCATCATTGTCTTCTCTAAGCTTTCCTGTACTTATTTTAATATTATTGTATAATACATATTCTGACTCTAAGAATTTATTGAACTGTGTATATGTTATAGGTTGCAAAGGAAAGATGGTAGTGTTGTCCAGTGCTGAAGAAATATATTAATTGAATAAATAATAGTGAAAAGGCACATCACTCCCACTGATTTTATACTTCTCATTCAGATGCGTTCTGAACTGGTAAAGTTCCCAAAGGGCTCTAGCATAAGTAATTTATGAATATATTTACACATTTCTTGTAGCTTTTATAGGTAATGTTCACACAAAAATAGTAATATATTTACATGGAAATTGTTTCACTGTGTCCACTGCCACTTATCCATCAGCAACTGTATAAGGAAGACAGCCTAAACCAGTTTTATTTTTATTTTTAAAAAAGAAGAATACTTGCTGCCACTGGACTTTCCTCAAAGCAATCTGCTAGTTCTCATCACACAGAACACTGTTTCAAGAAACAGTAGGGAGAAAAGGGTGGTGTTTACCCTCTTCTTTGTCTCTCTCATCTTGTCTAAGAATCAAACTGAACAATATGTTTAGCACATATTGACAAAAGGCATCTCTTTGTTATGGCATGTGGCCTTCATCACCAGGTCACCTTGCATTTAGCTCAAGGATGAGTCCTGTAACAATAAAACAGAAAATCTCCTCTCTGTTTTTTTTAAAAAGAGCTATCCAAAGTGCTGAACCTGAGTCAGGGTTCAACAACTTGGATACCACAGTTAAGGCTAACATTTGGAAAAAAGTCACCAACAATTTGGCATACTTTGTTTTGTAATTACACATTAAAAAGGTAAACATGGAATTTATTTGGAAATGTAATTGCAAGGTATATATCTCTAAGGAGATCCCACTCTGGAAAAGAAAAAAAATCCTGTTAAACCTAAGGAAATAATTCTCAATGTTAAAGCAACAAAAATACAGTGAGAGGGTAGTTTTCATAACCAGAGCCATCGTAATTTTCTCTCCATCTTGTTTACTTAAGCAAAATACCCCGAACCAATCCAAGGAAAGCCAGGGCCCTTCCAGTCAGGCCCTATGTCCCAGGATTTGATCCCAGGTTTTCTGTTTATCCCAGATTATCTAGCAGTGTGGACTCATAAAGTTTAAAGCAGAAAACCTGGGATCAGATCTTGGGATATTGAGCCTGTCTGGAAAGTCCCTCAGAGAAGCTTTGTCTCTCCCAACTGCCTTAATGAGGTTTTTGTAGCAAGGTTAGTAATTGTTATATAGGCATTAAGTATCAGAGAATTCCTGCTCAAGTAATGGTTACAGGAAAGTTACATCTCCCTAGTAAAATGTGTAAGGAATCCACAACCTATTTGTGTTAATGGGAACTTGTGGGATTTTGAGGAGGTGTCACAGGCACTGTCATAAAACTACTGTGATTAGTCACTGCTTCACAGCTGGACTGTTGAAGAAGAGGAGGTGGTGGAGCTTCTAAAAGTGTGGCTCAAGGCTGAGAATGATTTCTGGTTTCTTTTACAGTTTGGAGTAAATATGGATATATGACCCCTCATAATTTAACTTAAAGATGAACCAATTAGATCTTCTCCGCATTCTCATTTACAGGTAATTTCTATCCATTGGAAACCAACAGAAAAAGGGTCCAGGGGATTAAACTTCCCCCAGTATGGTTGAAACTATTGTGCCAGTGATTATGGCATCCTATCACACAGTACAGAAAAACACCATGTCAGAATCCACTACCTTTTAAAGGTGGCAGTACTTGCAGACAATGCAAGAGGTTGGACTCAAAGCCTGATGGGCCCTTTCCACCTTTATTATTCTATGAAAGTGTAAAGAATTGTGGCCATGCTGCTACAGACTCTCTCTGCTATAAACACTAAAGCCATGCCCAGTGGCGGATGCTACAAATTAATAGCTGCTAGAAAAATAAGCCACATCATGCGGAAGTATGATCTAGCACCAAGCCAATACCTGCTGGGATAATTAGTCTAGCGGTGTCCTGAGGACAAGCAGTCAAGGGAAGGGTTAGGATCACAGCCACATGGGCTCACAGCAGGCCACAGAATGAGAAGAACTCTTTGGAACAAAATATGGCACAAAATGTAGCGGTCAGTTTTCTGACCTCCTTACAACTGAAGTTCTTTCCCTCTGGCAGAAAATCATTTAGTGACCTACATTATTGTTGGAGACCATATGTACAGTTAATGCTGTGGAAATAGTATAAAACAACCTCTGGAATACATAACCTCAAGCAGGCATGTAGCCAGGGGGGGCTTGGGGGGCTTCAGCCGCCCCTGAAATTCTCATGGTGGGCTGCAAGAAGGCTTTATTGGTACATTATTTAAACTGTTATGTTTATTCATATCATGATCTGATCACCATACTCAATATATCCCATAAGCATGGGGGTATTGGGGTAATGATACAAAAGGTTTGCTAGGGTAGACCCTCTTTCACTCAGACTCAGCCCCCCCCCAATCAAATTCAACCCCCCCTCCCCTGAATCAAAATCCTGGCTATGGGCCTGACCTCAAGTAAAGAAGTGATTAGAAATATTTCTGTTAAAATAAATACCTTACCACTGCATCTTCTCACAAATTAGGTCTTTGGGTCATTTTCTTAACTCTCAACTTGCCATTGTTGTATTTATATATTCCTCATTATTAACACTTCAGTAGGAAAAGACATGCAATGCGTTAAATTTGAATATATAAAGTTAAATGAAGCATTTCTGTGACTTAATCCTAAAAGAGGACTCAGCATTACAATGGCACTGAGAGGAAAGAGCCAAAAACAGTACATTGGAAGCAAGAAATGAAGGGCTGACAAGAACAATTTAATAAAAGCTGCCACTGCTGTCGGAAGGAGAGAAGCATAACTGACAGCTTCAAGCTTTCAAAGGTTTACAGTGATTGTTCCGCAGGCAGGAAAAGAACTGTCATCACTGTCTTAACTTTTAAGACTAAGTTTTAACTTTTCCATTTCTCGGAAGTAGAAAAAACACCTAGATACAGTAGGCATGCAAAGAAGATTCACAAAAGTTCTCATTTTCAGTGGCAGATGCTGTCTTAACACACTGAAGAAGCCCACTGGGAAACCATCACCCCACCAGAGAAGTCTTGCCTCCTGTGTGAAAACAAGGTAAGGAATAGGGTTTCATATTAGAAGTATCCCTCAAATTTCTGAAGAAAAACCTCTACACAAAACTTATTTTCTTTT